TAATCCCAGGCCTAGGGAGGCTGAGGCAGGAGGACTGCCAGGAGTTCAAGGCCAGCCTAAGCTACATACAGAGCTCAAGACCAACCTGAACTGTGGCCAGACCCTACCTCAAAAAACCAAAAATAAATAACTAACTCTAATTAAGAATTGAAAATTCTACTTTGTTAAAATCTTTAAACTAAAAACAACAAGACTTCTAAAAATGTACTTCAATGTTAATAAATAATTGAGAATAATTTTTTCCTGGTTTCATAAAAACAAACTGTAGAAACTTTAGGACCATAAAATCTGTCACAGGCTCATCAAAATTAAACTTTAATTGTTAAACAGAATCCAAGTCTCTGATTCCATACAGGGAAAAGTTTATATACCCCCTTCTATCAATATACTAATATTAAAAATAGAACAATTTAAAGGAAATATATATTGGTGAGGATCCACTCACTTTTTGTTTCTTGAAAATCTTTTCTTTGCAAAAGCATTGGCCAAAGAGTAAGTGCTGGATTAAGTTTGCTGGAAAAAGATTCTGACTTTATACTGAATCTTGCTTTCTCTACGGCAAGGTGTTCGTTCTTTGTGGGTGATACATAACAGGCAAAGTTCTTTGCAACTAGATCATCATTAACACAAACCTGTAAAAAGTTAAAACATTTCACACATGAGCATGGTCAAGTAACTGCAAATATTTCAAATCTATCTCTGAATTTCAATCTTCAGAAAAATTGCTTTATACAACACAATCTGATAGAACTAGATCTCCCGACTTCAGCTCTGGTGACTATGAACTAAATACTTCTCACCCACTGTCCTACTGATGAAATAGCAGGGGCGTGTATGAAATAAGGAGAAACATCTTGCTGACGACACAGCAAGCTCACAGCGCTTGTTCAGGCAAAGATCTGGTGGGAAACACTAACAACAAAGGAAAAACTGAGAAGTCAGATTTTATCAAAATTTAAAACTTCTGCTCTTCACAAGAAAAGGAAGAAATGGAGCAAAAGCTTTTTACATCAAGTTATCTGTATAGACTACATCCAGAAGAACTCTCAGAAGTCAGGAAAAAGAAAACAATGTGGAGGAAAAAACAGGCAAAAGTCCTGAGGGAATACTTTGTAACAGATATATGAATTGTAGTAAAAATAAGGTGTCATTTGTCATTCAGAAAATGCAAATCTAATCCATAAAGAGACCACTACACACCTACTGGAATAACCATATAGGAGCCAGGGAGCAATATATTTCCAGCACTCAAGAAGCTAAGACAGGAGGATCAAAAGTTCAAGGTTGGGCCTGGGTATATAGCCCAGCGGCACAAACTCCTGCCTGGCAAGCACAAGGTCTTGAGCTTAATTCCAGGTACAAAAAAAAAAATGTTCAAGATTGGCCTGGACTACAGAGCAAGTTGAAGACTGATCTAGACTACACAGTGAGACCCTGTCTCAAAAGAACCTCTAAAAAACAAGTCAAAGAGGACATGGAAGAATTGGAAGTTTCACACATTGCTGATTAGAATATAACATAGTCAATCACTTTGGAAAACAATATGACAGTTTCTTAATACCTAAAGTATTATCCAGAAGTTGGACTCCTAAGTGTTTACCCAAGAGAAATGAAAATGAAAGTCCATAGGCAAACTTACATGTAAATATTTGCAATAGCCCCAAATTGACCACAAATCAAATATACATCAAGAATGGATAAAAACACTCTAACATATCCATATAAAGGGAAGTTTTTGACACTAAGAGGAATGAACCACTGATGCATACAGCAACATAGATGTATCTAATTTTGCTGAATGAGAGGAGCCAGGCCAAAAAATGAGAACACCCTAAGACATATCCTTCTACTCCCTTTTGTCAGGTGGTAAAGGATTGTTGGCCCTAATCTTCTGGCAATTACAACTTGAGCCCCCCTTGGTTAAGTTCTCACTCAGCTAAGCATAGACCTCCCTACCTTCCACACTGCATCACCATGAAATAAATGTAAGTCATCCAACCAAGATGGTGAGAAAAAGGGACCTAATTTTTGAAAAGAGGAAACCAAGTCAGTAGAGAATTTACTTTAGAAGAGATGTTTTATAAAAATGGTCCTATAGCCAGCACTTTAGTATTTTTACTAATATGCAAAACAAGCAGTGAAGAGTCACAGGTAAAACCAACCAGAATGTAAAGAATATAAATGCAATATAAACAGGGTCAAATAAACCTTACTACAAAAGAATAACATAATCACACTGAAAAGAGTAGGAAAGAGAAAAACTAACCTGAACAATTTTGAGAACAGTATTCTGGCTGTATAATGTAAGACTAGAGACAAATTTCTCTTCTGTAGTAATGCAGACTAGCAATTCTGAAATTATGTCAATGCTAGGATCAAGCAAATAAACATGCTGTGGCTAACAAAAGGGGATTTCTGACTACTGGAGAAAGGTGTTAAGAATAAAGAGAAACAAGGGTCAGAACTGGCACTGGTTAAAGGGAGGGGTCAAAGCTCTGGATACAGGCACAGATGGCAGTGGTGTAAATGATTTAAAGTGTAAGTCTTTCTCTTGAAAGGCCATGTGCTCCATGACACTTTACAGCAGCAAGCACATGCAATGCCCTCATCTTACACTCCTTAACAAAGGGACCCAGAGTTTCTTAGAGAAGTGAATGATTCCAGGGCTGGGGTTAGAAAATGACAAAATGATCCAGTGGCACCAGAAAGTAGGGAGGGTTAAAAAATGATGGGGACACGAAAGGACACAAAAGCCACTGTGAAGAAATTCCTACTGGCCCAAATCTGAGTGAGACAATAACAGCAACGGATCCTAACCTCCAAATAAAATAACCAAACTCCATACTAATATAAAGTGAATAACTTAATAAATGGAGGAGAGACAGGGCTTTCTTACAGAAAAATTCCAATTAATAACACGGAAGGATTAATGGAAACAGGCCAACACCACAATACTAATGTTTCTGGCTTTGTTTGTTTGTGACAGGGTCTCACTATATAATTTAAGCCTGCCTTGAACTCACTATGTAGTCCAGGCTGGCCTCAAACTCACAGCAATTCTCCTACTTCAGCCTTCTGAGTGCTGGACCATGCCCAGCCACAGCGTTAACTTTTAAAGACCAAGAACCACTGATGGGTATTTGCATAATCTCAAAATATCTCCTTATAATTAATTGCAAAAGAAAAAACCAGCAGCTTTAAACAGGAAAGACCTGGCAACACTACGTTAACCAAGTGATCGACTTAAATAATCACTAGCAGCTAGACATATTCCCAGCAAGAACACCCCACAGGGATGCACTGGGAGAGGGGCATCTTCACTTCTGGGGAATTCTTGAAAAATGCACTTCCTCAACTAATCATAAGCAAATATCAGGGCAGGCAACTTGAGCAGCATCCCAAACAGTGGCCAGAACTTTCAAAAGCATCAAGGGTACAGAAGGTGAAGGAAAACTGAGGACTGTCCCAGGCTAGAGAAGACAAAGGAGACGGAATAGCCAGAAACAACGTGGGGGTCTACGTCAGCTCCTAGACTAGAAAAAGGAAAAGTACCAGGGAAACTGGCAAATTCATATAAGGTCTGAGAATTTTTGAAAACTATTTTATCAACGTTAGCTTTCGGTTTTGATGACTGTGCTTCCAATTCCACACAATCAACATTAGGATGTGCATAAAGCACACACAAAAACCTCCACATTCTTTCTTCATCTCTACTGTTAGTCTAAAATTATTTCAAAACAAACAAAAACGCCTAATTCCTAGGTGGGGACAAGGGGTGTAGCTCAATGGTAAAGTGTATGCTTAGCATGCGTGAAGCCTTGGGTTCCACCCCTGCCGCAAGAAAGGGAGGGAGGAGGCCAGGGGTGGTGGTGCACGACTGTAGTCCCAGCACTCAGGAGGCTGAAGCAGGAGGATCACTGCGAGTTCGAGATCAGCCTGGGCTACAAAGTGAGCTCAAGGCCAGCCTGAACTACATAGAGAGACCCTGTCTCAAAAAGACAAAACAAAACAAAAAAAAACCAAGAAAGGGAGGGAGCGAGTCCCTGTTAAGGTGCCCTTTATGGATTCTGGGCACCCCTAGGTCTGTGTCCTGCGCACACAGCTGTACCTTGCAGTGCCCTTCAGAAACAGCAGCCAGCCTGATGTAGCAGACAATGAGGGAGGGACAGGGCTCTCATATGTCACGTCCCCTTCCTTTCTACACTTATGAGAGCCGAATTCTTCCCAGTGAGCACAAATCACAATGAGAAAGTCTCAAAATGCAGGGAACCACAGCAAATGAGTGTATTTATAGAAATAATGTTCTCTTACTAGAAAACATTTCATACTCATCACCACAGGAATAATTTCTTGTTCGTCACTGAGATCCCATTCTGGCAAAATGCTCAAGTAATTTTTGAAGTAATCAAAAGACAGAAACACAATTGTGGCTAACTTATGATCTAAGCCAGACCTTGAAACATTAAAATAATTTCTCGCCAGGCATTATGGCGCACACCTGTAATCCCAGCACCAAGAGGGTGAGGCCAAAGGACTGTGAGTTTGAGGCCAGTCTGGGCTACACAGTAAGTTCAAGGCCATCCTAGACTACATAGAGAGACTGTCTCATAAAACAAAAGCCATTTCTATGCTGTGTAAATTATACTATTTTCTCTGGGTTTGAATGCTTATTAAAGAAAAATTTAAGAAAATGATAAAATATTTTTAAAATACAATTCTTTCACTTACTTTTACATTTTTTATTGTTACATAAAGGTAAACCTCAAAAGCATCACCTTCCACAGCACATAATTTGGCTTGCACCTGGGTAGTTGCTAAAAGGCATAAATGAAAGCACAAATGAGCTGATATTAATTGCATACTGGAAGCAATTCAGATTTATTCCCCAGCCTCTGCAAACCACTTAAGAGTACCCAGTGCCAGAATGGCCAACAGCTTCCTCAAGCAGGATGGCTCCCAGACAAAGGCAGCAGGAGTGAGTGATCTACACAAGACTCATGAGTGGAATGAGCTGCATATCCTTTGTTCCCATCAACAGGGTCCTCCCGCCACCCTCCAATAACCTCCTTAAGTACTTTCCTAGGTTCTATCTTCTCAAATCCGTTCACCTGAGTGCTCTGTCTTCCCCCAAATGCCCTATGGATCAGACTTCTTGGCTACGCTATCAGAGATTTAAGGACCCAAACAGCAGCTCCATTTATGGACATCTATCATGCACTGTGCCAAGTCATTTTTATACCATATTTCATTTCTTTTTACCTCAATCCTTTGAGGTAAGTACTGCTACTATCATTTTACAGGAGAAGAGGCCAGGCTCAGAGAAAGTTAAAGTATCTTGTTCGAGGCTGCACAGAAGGAGATGGGCAGAATTCAACTCCGGGCAGTCTGCTTCCTCTAAGCCAGTAATAATGAACCTTTTAGAGCTTTCAATGATAACACACAGTCCACCGCAACATGTTTGTAATAGGTTCACCACCACTGCTCTACACCATATTCTTATCTCCCATCATCCCTTAAAGGGCATGCAAGGGCCCAGACTGCTACCCAGCGACATTCCGCAGCCTTCCATATCTCCTAAGTTCAAAGCTTTGTGTTTTTTTTTTACCTAGACAATGGGAGACCAGGACCAATCAGGAACCTCACACCCACCCAGAGGGAGGAATGGTCACTACCAAAGGGTAGGACAGGAAAGGGACTATATTTTATAGTCACTTACATAAAATAACGCACCCTAAATAGCCAGACATCTTATATATATTAAACTAGCAATAATGATTACTACACGATATATAACCCTTGCTCATTAAAGTTATATTTTTGTCAAAACTTAACTGTATAAAATGTTCATCAATGTATTTTGCATTGGTGAAATTTTTAAGAGGCAAGGATTATTACTGTGCAGGGGTACATCCACAAAAATAGCCCCTTTCTAATTTTAGCTGTCAATTGCTGATATCCTCATCTACCCACAAAGTCCCAAAGGTGTAGTCATAGTGACATCTGGAGTGGAAGAGACTTCAGGTAACTTACAAATCCCATCTGAAGAAGGCCTTGGCAGGCAACTTTCAACCCCCCCTTGCTGACAGAAGGGTAAGTCACCGCAGGTGTCAATTCAAAACAGTCTGTGATGAACACAATGCAGTGGCCTTACCTTTCAGGACATTCTGAAAGTACTGGACTGCAGCACTGTCCCATTGCTTTGCAGGTCTGAAATAGTAAACAGATTCAACTTCACTAAATAAAAATTTAAGGCTGGTACATAGGATCATTTTGTAAACCATTCACTGGATATTTCTGACATTAAATATCAAGCATACGATGTAGATAACAGACAACCAACCTGCATTGTCACCTGCACCAGTGCAGAAACACACAGCACAGATGTCCCAAGGAGATGACCTGTGCCCAAAACCATGGCATCTTCTCTCCCAGTACCATCTTTTCCAATTACTGGTGACAAATCTGCCTCCCTAACACAAGCTCCCTGGGGCAGAGATCCTGAGAGTGCCATGCCCAGCACAAGCTGGCTACACCAGCACCCTCAGAGGTGATCTAGGCAAAGTTGCCATCACCCCATGCTAGTTTTCACTCTGCTGACAAGCACCCCTGTGCCATTTCCCACTTGATCTCCATCAGCTTGCTCTTTCTACATCTTTCCTATCAAGTGTGATTAAACTGTACAATGAATATTTTTTTTTAATTCATCACAGTAAAAGATAAACTGCCAAAGATGGGGGAGGGAGTGCGTATGTGTACCTTTCCATACCTATGTATCTTATATAGATATAAAATTACCTATCGATATAATCATTTTAGTACATATTTTAAAACATTAAATTACTATATATTATATAATTAAATTAGATGATTTATTTTCTATAACTATTTTATTATTTTTTATTTTATGTAGATGGGCCAAATGGTTTGGAAACAATATAGATGGCTATCAGGAAAGTAATGATTAAATATGACAATTATATCCATCTATGAAAAAGGCTGAAAAACTAAAAGGAGAAGGATGTGTATTGGTAAAGAGCTTTAACAGACGTACATTATTAAACTAATTTTGAAATGACAGCACGTTGTAATTTTCATTGAAAGTTCCACACATAAAAAATGTGTGTAAAATCGTTGACAAAGGTCTGGAAGTTCAGAGACGTAATAGTTCACACTTCCCAGGAGAGAGAAAGTAACGCTGGAGAACAATGTAATAATGTGGTTTGGTTTGGTTTTTTTGACGCAGGGTCTTGCCACATAGTTCAGGCTGCCTTGAACTCACTACATAGTGCAGGCTGGCCTCGAACTTGTGGTGATCCTTTTGCCTGAGCCTCCTAAGTGCTGGGATTACAGGTGTATACCAGCATGCCCAGGTGTTCTGTTTTTGAGATGGGGTTTTGCTATGCTGCCCAGACTGGCCCTGAACTCCAGAGCTCAACTGATTCTCCTGCCTTAGCCTCCAGAGTAGCTAGGACTACAAATATGTACCATTGCACCTAGAAAATAAACTTTTTAATGGTCCATGATCCTAAGTTTTGCTTTTCTAGACAGTTAATTTATTACTTTTCGTAAATTTTTAGAAAAGATAAACAGCACCGAGCTCAGGCCCTCCTCTGAACCCCTCAAACACAGCCTCTGAAGATGGGCTAGCCCATGATATTCTGCTGCATGGCCAGGTTTAACCAAAGGTGACTCAAAAGCTACCTCCTGCAAAACAAACTCTCAGTACTTCTACAGGAGAACTAATTTTAAATAAACATCATACACTTGACCTAAGGCTTTTTTAATGATTTAAACTACTTAAGAAGCTGTACTTACACAATTTCAGCATTGTCTTCACAGAAGTCAATGTGCAGTGTAACAGGTTTTGTGCAATGGAGTCTGAATTTTTTCGCCCTATAGGGAAGCTGCATAAAAGATTCTACTGCAACGCGGATGCTTGAAAGTGGAAGAGACAGTTCCATTATAAACAAAATTATACACAATGTATTCATTTTGTTCACAGTACATCTATATAGTCAATATACTTAACAGAAAGAATTCTGTTTCAAATCTAACTACCAACAGTGCCTGAAGACACTTGGTCTAGGACAATGATGGTGAACCTAGGGCACTCATGCCACAGTAGGCTGCTTGTATCACTGAAAGTTCTAAAAGGTTTGCCATCACCAGTCCAGGGGATAAAAACTGTGTGAGTGGAAAATATCTTGATGCATAAAGCATAAGTATACATATATCTACAGTGCACAAGCAGATGTTAGATATTTCTGTGGTATTAACATTTCACAGCATAAGGGGAGAGGTTCAGGGGGAAAAAAAGTAAGGATACAGTGAGGATCTCAAGGCTGAGAAATACTGGGTAATAATGAGCAAACTTGTGAAGAAAATTTTGGTAATACTTTTAAGTATCAATTTCAATATTTGACTAGACTTACACAAAAGTTTCTGTAAATTAAAAAAGTTTCTAGTGTTCACTTCTGCAGCACATATACTAAAAAAGTTTCTGTATATAAATGGATGGTTTCAATAATAAATTATTGCCATCTTTGCACAAAAGGCCCAAAGGACAGATTTGACAAATAAATTCTAAATTCTTATTCCATTCCATTCTTATTCTTATTCCATTCAGGCAAATGATCATGATAAGATATTATTTTGACATAAGCCAGTTCTCTTCCCTGGATCCCACATACCCTGTACAGCCAACTGCAAACCTTCTGCCTCCAACAGGTACTGCACTAATTGCTTCAACAGCTCTATCTCAGTGTATAGTTCTCTTGCCCCAAATATGCTAAGCTTAAAATACCAAACACAAAAAGAAAAGCTACCCAACAGTAAGCAAAATAATAATTTTAACAACTACAGCCGGGTATGGTGGCTCACTCCTGTAATCCCAGCACTTGGGAGGCTGAGGCAGGAGGATCTTTGCAAGTTTGAGACCAGCCTGGGCTACAAAGTGAGCTCAAGGCCAGCCTGAACTGCACAGGGAGACCCTGTCTCAAAAACAGACAAAAACAAAACAGAACAAAACAAAAAAAAACCCCACAATTATAAAGGTGCAGAATCACAACCTGGAAAGCCATCTCCACTTTCCTTAAATATCTATAAATTCCCAATGTCTGACAAGCCCTTCTACCATGAAGATTAAGATACCTCTCTTATTGCTATTATGTCTACTTGGCATTGTTCCTTCTTTAGTGAAGAAGTGTCCTTCTACTTATTAAAGTGATACTTCTTACTCTAGGAAGGAAACTATAGTTATCCTGAACAACTTGTGCTAGTGTTTTCTAGTAACTGACGTGTGGTCCCAGAAACAGTGAAGGCTGCCCAGTGTGCATCCAGTTACAGACTCATGAACTGTGTTCCTGCTATTTGTGGTGGCCACATCCTCATGTGTTAACAAGGGAAGTCAGGACTACATACCGGAGTGCATACTCTGCTCTCTGCAGAGTATGAGCCAGCATACTCTGAGCTTGAGCCAGCAATCTCCCCCACCTCCCACTAGTGTCTGTTGGGGGGGTCACACTGAATAAACTCAGGGGCCAGACCACAGGGCACTTGGCTAAGGAAGCCAGGAGATGCAGAGACAAGGGCCTGGACCTGAACTGCCTTTTCCAAAAGGAAAGTGGCGAAGGGCCAGAGTTGTCCTCTGAGCCTCAAAATCTGACTACCTGCTTGTTGAGAAGGACATTCCTTAGTTACTATTTTGTGTATTGCCTGACACCTGACCAAGCCATGATTGTTGGGTTCTGGAGGAAGTCTAGCATAAGCATTGTAAGCCCCCAGATCAATACTAGATGCTTTGCTGAGATATGGGTAAAGGAAGATAACATGAGGGCTTACTGGTCAGGGTGCACTCCTATGATAATTGAGTTGTACTGTCCTTGCTAAAACAGTTGATACCCTCCGATTCCTCTGCTGCCTCCTTGGTTGATTCTGAATAAAAGGTTACTGAAGATGGTAAACAGGGCTCAGTCCCAGGGGCTGCTAGCACCTGATCACAGGATTTTGGCTCTCCTGGTTTGATTTATTCTTACTTTTCTTATACATGTGCAGGCACCTAATTTGGGGAATCTGTTCACCCCGGACAGAGCTGGATGAGAAGTCTGACACCTGCTCTTCCAATTTATAGGTACAGAATTGGAACTTGTAAGTCCTCCCTTCTTGAAGCTAAGGAATTCCTGTTTCATCTTTTCCCAAAAGGGAATGCTCTCTTCATCCCCTTAGAAACTGACATTCTCCTTGTCCTGAGATGTCTCCTTGAAGAACATAAGGCAAAATAAACAACATACATACTTCTTAGATTTTACTGGAATATACTTGGCAAAATCCACAAGAAAGCACTTGGCCAGGTAATGGTCTGCTGAAGGTACGATTGATTTAATAACAGCCCTGCACCAGGACTTTAGCTCTTGACAATAGACCACACAAACCTACGAAGTAAAGAAAATGGTTTTATTTTTCAAATTCCCTGCTAAAAACCCTTAGTCATATAATAACAGAACCATAAAGTTCCTCTCAAAACTGTATCAGGCTGTATTTTACATCAAAGAAAAGGACAGACATGCTGGAGGATGGACCTGCCCAAACCAAACATGACTGCCAGGAAAAGAACTCCGAGAAGAACATAGGTCACTCTATTGTTTTTTGTATTCTGCTCCACTGTTTTTTGCTTTTACTACAATAGTTCCCTCTTTTCCACAGTTTAACCTACCTGCAGATGACTAGTCTGAAAATATTAATGGACAACTCCAGAAATAAGCAATTCAGAAGGTTTTTCTTTTTTCTTTTTGGTTTTTTTTTTTCCAGTACCAGGAATGGAACTCATGACCTTGCGCTTCCCAGGCAGGCACTGTGCCACTGAGCTAAATCCCCAGCCCCAATTCATAAGTTTTAAGTTGGGCTCTGTTCTGAGTAGTGCAAGGAAATCTTCCACCATCTCACCGCACCAAGTCCAGAGCACGAACTGCTCTTGTCTGGCACGCCACACTGTATGTGCTACCCATCTAGCCATTACTCACTTAGCGGTTGTCTCAGTTACCGGATGAGCTGCTGCAGTATCACAGGTGCTTGTGCTCAAGAAACCTTACTTTACTTAATAATGGCCCTAAAGTACACTTTTAGGACAGTACTGCTATGGTTTGGATCTAAAGCGTTCCCCAAAGGCCAGCTGATGGACTTCTGGGAAGTGACTTCATTAGGAGGATCATAACTTGATGGTATTAGTGGGAGGTGACAGAAACAGGAGTGGCGGCTAGCGGAAGGGAGGCAATTATGGGGGTGGGAATTTAGCACTACGTCTGATATCTGGCCCCTCTTTTGGCCCTTTCCCTTTCTCGCTGCTTTATGGCTGTGACGAGGAGAGTTAACTGTCCTCTACCATGGCTTCCACCATATTTCTGCTTCACA